TGTGTCCTTGCTATCCTCTCCAGCTGCCTCTCCCTCCTTCCTTTGCCTCTCCCAGGCTTTCTCCCTCCTACCTTTCCCTAGTGGCGGCTGACTGTGGCAGATTTGGGAGCGGCGGGGAAGGGGCGACGGCTGGCTGCGGCAAAGGGCGACGGCAGTGGCGGGGTGGATGATGGCCAGGTGCGGTGGCGGGCGACGGTCTGGCGGCGGGCTCTCCGTCTCCCTCCCACCTCTCCCCAGCGGCGGTCGGCTGCGGCAAAGGGTAACGGTGTCACGCCCCGAACTAGTCCCGACCGGAACTAGCCCGTGACGCTCCAAATTAACCTGTTAATCGATACCAGTCCCAGGAAACAGTGCTGGTATCACAGGGAGACAGAGTATCACAGCAACAGAGGTCTCTTTATTATAGAGTAGAAGTACAGTCATGTTGGGCTGCGGACAGATCCCGAGCTCACAACTGCATTACAAAAGGAAAGCGGAAGCCAGGACTTGGACCAATCATCACAGGCGCGACTTGGGAACTAGGCCGAAACCCTAAAACTCATCGTAGCCGACTTGCTCCTGGAAGAACTCCTCGTCGGCAGGATCCACTTCATCTTCTTCAGCAACTGGGGGGGATTATTTATATAGAGCAAGGGTGAGTACGGGAGTACTCAGCAAGCCAGGGGAAATAAGTGTTTAATGCAGGCTTCAAGGGAAGGCTGTTGTTTTTGCAATTGGTTTTATTTGAACTCTTTTTCTAAAACGACTAGGTGAGTGCTTCTCAAACGACACGGATGGGACAGTGCGTCTCGTCCGGTCGGAGTATGTGCAATGTATCAGTCTTTAGATCTTGAAACAGGGTTGGCACCCGGCCAACAGCTTTTCAAACGGCCACCCGGGCCAACAACTTTTCAAACGGCCACCCGGGCCTAGCTGATCCCGTCAGCTGCTGATTTTTCAAAGATCGAACCCAGTTTCACAACAGCAATTTCACAAGCAGTAGTCAAACAAAACTACGCTAGGAATCACCTCACATCCGCCCTTGACCGTGGGCACGGCTGTTCGAACAGTTCAATGACCTCTGCAGAGGGGGTACACTTTACCCACACGACATTACTAACCCGGGTCACCCAGCCCGTGGGGATCAGCCACGTCGGGAGACCTCCAAGCTTTCATGACAAGGCATTTCGAAAGCCGATACAGGTTTACCATATGCCGACGAGAGGGGTCCCAGACCAACAACAGGTTAGGTCCCAGACCATACTGTGCCAGGAAGCCCAGGGGTCCTCCCCGACACCACCCCGGCGAATCCACATGTCTCTCGGCATCAAGGCTCCCCTGATAAGCTAGTTACTCAGCCAGGGGTGTCCCATTCCACCCATGTGGTCGTACTTGTCTTATGTTTGGATGAAATTCCAAGGAATCGGTCCTTAAGTGCGAGAGCGGGAAACCGTACACCCGGTACGTTCCCCGGTCCGCGGTTTTGGAAATTCATTTAGTTCGCAAGCACCGACCCAGGTGTCGGGTTTTTCCAAGTCTTTTGTAAAACTCCAGTTTTACCCAAGTTGTTACTCAGATTTTAAATTTGAAGGCGACCGTCGATACTCGCACAGAGTGCACGAATATCGAGGTGCAACTGGGTGGTTACAAGGGGACATGGTATAACAATTAACAAAGGAAGGATCAAATGCAACAAATTAGGTAGGTCTGCCAATCTGCCTTGCAGGCGGGACAACAGATTAAGTGTGATCCTATCAATGCATAATATTTCGCAAGCAATATAATTAAATTTCAAATATAGGCTCAAGATGTTCAAAGGTGGCTTGCCTTGCTCGAGATCCGGAGCTTGATCCTCGAAATCCTCGCACTGCGGGTCTTCGGGCTCCGAAACTACACGCGAAACGGGACAACTCAACAAACGGCGAGAATAAAGCCCTATTAATGACCTCTAAGCATGCCATTAGATAGATCTCGAGATTTGAGGAATTTTGGAAGTTGAACGGAGTCAATCGGATTTACGGTTGGGAAGATATTGAATTTCTAAGATTATTGGATTTTTGGTATAAAGGAAAAAGGATTTATTTAAATCCTTTTTGAAAAAGAAAAAAGAAAAGAAGGGAGGGAGGGAATATAGACTTTTCTCGGACGGCTAGGGCGCGGCCCAAGAGAAATGGAGCGGTCCGGCGGTGGACGCAGGTGCGGCGGGCGGTGCATGCGCGCGGTCCGCGGTGGACGCAGGTGCGGCGGGCCCACGCGCAGCCTCACGGCTCGCGGTGGATCGCGCGCACGCGGAGGGACCGACCGGGGTCGGCCCGACCCGGTCTGGCTGAGCTGGCGCCGACGTGGTGCCTACGTGGCTGCCACGCGGGCCGGCGGGAGGTAGACGACGACCCGGCCTCGAATGGACGGCGGGCGGCGGCGGCGAGCAGCGGAGCGAACCACGGCGATACGGGCAAAAGCGTGCACACCGGGCGGTTGCACGTGACAAGGGGAGACGAGCCAACGGCTCGGATTCGCCGGAGGTTGCTCGACGGCGGCGGATTGCGGCGGCGGCAACCGGCGGCGGGAGAAGAGGGAAACGGCGACGAGGTCACGAGAGGTCGATTCCCGGCGGTGAGAGCATCTACGCGGCTTCGGGAACTCGACGCTAGCGTCGGATTGGGCGGAACTACGCCGAGCGAGGCCGGCGACGAGCGGGTGCTACGGAGCTCGGGCGGCGACGGCGGCGAACACACGGCGAGCGACGGCAACGGTCGCGGCGGCGCCGGCTAACTACGGGGAGGCTACTCAAGCTACTACCGAAAGCTAGGGGGAGGAGATGGAGCGAGGAGGAAGAACGGAGAGAGACATCACCGAGAAGAGGAGGGGCGCTGTGACGAGAGGCCGGCGGCGCGGGAGTAATCTCTCCGGCCTCGGGCTGAGGAAGAGGAAGAAGAGGGCGCGCCCGGAGTCCCCTTCCGCGTCCACGAACGCACCGGCTCTCCCGGCGCTTGGCGATGGACGGCGGAGGCGAGGCAGAGCACAGGAGCGGCGGCAACGGTGAGGAGGCGAATGGGAGAGGAAAGGAAGGGAGGGGGAAGACGGGTTTAAAAGGGCGGCAATGTCGGTTTGAGAGAGGGGAACCGACATGGGCGGTCAAGCCGGCGAGCTGGCGCTCCGGCTAGCGTCCAAAGCGGCGACAGGAGGTGACGCCGGCGAGAGGGGAAAAAGGGGAGAAAAAGAGGAAAAGGAGGGAGAGAAAGGGGGCTCGCCCCTTTGCCGATTCGGGAAAAGGAGGAGGGAGCGGGGCGACTCGGCAGAGGGAGAGGGGCTCTCTGCCTCCGCCCCTTGGAGGCTAGCGCGCGGAGTGGCGGGGGCCGGGCGATGACGACGGCGATGACGGCGGGGCGGTTTGGAGCGGCGCGACGACACGGGCGACAGGCGCGGGCTGGCGCGGCAGAGGGTGACGGCGGCGGCGACCGGGCGGTCGGCCACTCGGCACGCGCGCGCGGGAAACAACGGGCGGCGCGGCTGGGCAGCGGGACCGGGCGACGCGGACGGCGCAGACGACGCGGCTCGGGCGGGAAACCACGCAGGCGCGCGCGCGAGCGACGGCGCGCGGGGCCGGCTTTGCGAGCGGGGAGCTCGCGCGAGAGGAGGGGGCGCTCGGCGCGGCTCTCGCACGCGCGAGCAGCGAGCGGGGGGAAAACGCGCCGGGGAAAGCGAGAGAGAGAGAGAGAGAGCGCCCGGGAGAGAGGGGGCCGGGGAAGAGATGGGCCGAGCGGAATTCGGCCCATCGAACCCGGGGGAGGCAAACTAGACTTTTGCGGTGGGATTCGATTTGGAAGGAATTGGATTCGGAATTGAACTCGACGATAGATCGGGGATTGAGATCTTGAGATGGCACGGACACTAGACAACAAGCAAAGAAACAAATTTCGCAATTAGGGTTTTTAAGAGATAATTTTCCCGCTAGGCGCCACGACGGAACGGGCGCTACAAACGGCAGCAGTGGGGAAGGGGCGGCGGCCGGCTGCGGCAAAGGGAGGCGGTGGCTGCGACTGCGACGGGGGACGCGGCGACGGCGACTGCGACGGCGACGGGAGGAGCTGTCGTGGGGGCATGACGATGACAGGACGGCAACGGCGACAGTGCATTGATTTTTTTTTTTGTACTTTTATTGTGATGTGTGAATGGATTAGGGTGGTTGATGCCATACTACGGCCGCTGATGATTCAAATTTTTGTTAAGTTGATTTTTGTGATGCTTAAGGCTTGGGTGGATGGAGCGTTGACGGAGGCGACGGTCCGTCTTTTTTAAAAAAACTTGGTTAGTATTTTCTCTGGCGGCTGACAAAGTGTAACCCGCCAGCGAAAAAACATTTTCACTGGAGGTCGTCTTAAGCTAGCCGCCGGCGAAAATGGATTTTTGCTGGCGGCGGTCGTACGACCGCCAGCGAAAATGTTTTTTCGCTGGCGGTCGATAACCGCTAGCGAAGATCTTGATTTTCACTGGCCTTTATTTTGTGGCGGCTCCAAATTCCGCCAGCGAAAACCCAAAATGACCGCACCTCGAAAGATGGTTTTCGTAGTAGTGAATGGAGAAAAACAAATGAAAGAGAGACAGAGCGCATTAGAACACAAAAGTTAATTTCTTTAATTATCCATAGATAGCTTTCCTTGTTTCTTTGAATCAAAAGTTATAACTCATTAAGACTCATTATATTGTTACAAGTGTTAGCCACTAGCTATTTATAGAGCTCATAGAAACGCATGAATTTATGCTAGCCAGTCACTTGGTCGAATTTTTTTAATTTCCTTCTGTTCTAAAATATAAAATATAGTATTTTTTAAAAAAAATATTATAGTAAGTTAGTACTTTTGACCATTCAACCGGTTAGCATTTATCTGATAATGCTCAGCCGGTGCAGGTATTGATTGGTTTTGAGACCACTGTCAAAAATAGCATCACATCAACAAATAATTCAAATCCACTCGTAGTTGCAAAACACCTATATATAAAGCCCATTTCTACCATGTAATTCAATCTATAAACAAACACTCAAGACAATTAACACGACAAATCATGGAGAGATCAGCCACCGTCTTTGTAGCGCTCACCTTGCTCGTCGCCGGCAGCGTCGTCGTCGTCGTCGTCGTCGACGCCTGCGACGGCGTGCCGAGGATGTCGGCCGTGGAGGCGTGCAAGCAGGCGAGCGTGGGCCCGGCCATGTCGCGGACGTGCGCCGAGACGCTGGGAACCTCGGCGGACGAGCAGGGGGCGACGGACTTCATGGTGGCCGCCGCGAACGCCGCGACGGAGTCGTACAAGGCTGGCAAGGAGGCCGTCGGCAAGGTGCTCTCCAACCCGCTGGCGCCCGACGGCGAGCGGCTGCCGTGCCTCGTGTGCGCGAACAAGTACGACGACGCGTCGATGCTCGTCGCCAGCACCGCCGACGACGCCAAGCGCTGCAAGCTGAGCGCCGACAGCCTCCCCGACCTCGTCACCGCCGTCTCTGCCGTCGACGAGTGCGCCACGAAGATGTTCGAGGAGAGCGGGAACACGACGTCGGTGTACGCCACGGCCATCACCAATCGGGATTGGACCGTGCTCGTTCTGCGCCTCGCTACGTTGGTTGTGCCGCGCCAGCAACTCAGCTAGTTCTGCCATGCATCACCAATCGTGCGATTGGATTGCTGGTCGCCCTCCCTTGTCCTTCCTCGTTCTAAGGCCGTGTTTTGTTTCCCTCATATTCCCAACTTTCCATCACATCAAAAGCTTTCCTACACTCATAAACTTTCAACTTTTTTTCCAAACTCCCATTTCTTTAAACTTTCAACTTTTTTTAGGAACTAAACACACCCTAAATATGGCTGATATCAAGCATTAAAAACTTTAGCTATGAATAAATTTTAAAATACTTACGTTAGAAACGTTGAGACCATATGTATAGACCAAATTTTTAATATATTTGTTGATGTTTTTTATATATTATATTGTACTAGAAAAGATGCCCGTGTGTTGCAACGGGTGAAGCTATTTTAATCTTATTGTTGTTCAATGTGATTCACTATGAGAATTCGCTTGGATATTTTTTTTTCTAGAAATTAATGTCAAGTTAACATTTGAGTTTTTTTAAAGAGATTTCTTAATTATACGATTCCTTCTGCATTTCCAAAAGCGAAAAAAACTTAAAACCCAACTCAAATACAGATCTGTATTTCCAAAAGCAAACGGATTTAAAAACCGACTCATACACAGATGACGTACCAAAGAACCGGCAAAAACATCTTCTATTTTTATAATAGTGGAGATAATAGAAAATAGTGATAAAAATTATTTTTCGAAAACCGTATTCTAAGTCTAAAACGATAATTAGTTTCAACCCAAAGGGAATATTAAGTTTCAACTTTGTCTTGTTGCTTTTTCTTGAAAAAACTGTAAATATTTGGAAAAATATATATATATATATTGTATATTGTTGAAGTGTGCATCATCATAAATTTAACAATATAAATTTCTCATTGTAATAAAATCATCCAAGAGTAATTTATGATTAACATAAGATCAATATAGTCGACCATTAATTTCAGTTATTCGAGAACGAGGGGAGTAAAAAACCGTGGACAGAACAAGAATGGGCCAGATGCTCGTTCTCACAGCTCAGGGCAAGTTTTATAATAGAGGAGGTGGTCACATCTAATTTTGTCCAAATCATCTACACATTAATTTAGAGGTAATACATACAATAGATTACATATACTTACACTACACCCAATACACTTGCTACCAATCCATTTCTCTCTCTCTTCTATTTCTTGAAACTTGTGTGGAAGTTGCCCATTGCATGAGGGGTGGCTGCTCCTCTCTCTTCTTTTCTCTCCTCCACATCATCACGTCAGTGATGTACGGCCTCGCCGGCGATGACCTTAGGGTGGCGGCAATGGCGTCTGATCTTGGAAAGCTCGTCTTGGGGTATGGTTTCTATGGTTAACGGAAGGGTAATCATTTCCCATTACAAATTTGCATCATTTTAACAAATTCAATTATTTTTCTCCCCCAAATCTATGTCTTCCTTTCTATGCAGTTTTTCCCATCATTTAGCGTACCAGAATGTAGGACACCGGTACATATGTCAACTTAGGTTGTTCACTGTCAACATATTACCACATAGTTCATTGTAAAGGTTAGGATTCAATATCGTTGCAAAGGTATATTTTGCAACGAATTTTTTGTTGCAAGAAATAGATTCCCGTGTAGTATATTGAATTATTTATGCGTATTTATCTGGTTCAGAAAATTCCTTCAGGATATTGGACGTTTAATGGATTCTATAAACCTTATTGTAATGGAAGATATTAAATGTTCATTCTAAAGGAGTATTAATTCATTATTCATCCAAAGTTAATTAAGGAGTTCCCATTAACATTTATTTCTATATATATGTGCACAGAAAAAAAGAATCTCAATAAATGTGCATAAAGAATTAAAGATATGCTAGTATTTATGAATCACTAAATAGCATGCAAATAAAATAATAGATACATACCACTACAGATTTCGTAACAGCTGATTCTTTATCAACGGAAGAAAAATTAAAAAATCCATCCTATTTAAAGCCCATTCATCCATAGAAACAAAATTAAATTAAAATTTAAAAAAAGGCAGAAAAAGAAAAGAAGAAGAAGATGACAAGAGCATCAGCCACCGGCTTCCTCGCCGCCGTCGCGATGGCCTTAGCCGTCGCCGCCGTGGTGGTGGACGGCTGCGACAACGTGCCATCGATGAGCATGGACGACGCATGCCTGAAGGCGTCGACGTCGCAGCCGCTGCTCGCGCTGTGCCACGGCGAGCTCCTGAACGCGCCGGAGAGCGGGGAGGTGACGGTGTACGCGGTGATCTCGGCGAGGTGGGCGCAGTGGGCGTACGAGGCGACCTCGCGGGCGGCGGCGGGGCTGCTCGGGAATAACAACGCGTCGCTCGCCGCCGGCGAGCGGGCGGCGTACGAGGCGTGCGTGGCGCGGTACGCGTCGGCGAAGGCGCGGGTGATGGCGGTGCAGACCCAGCTGCTGGAGTGCTCGTACGCGTCGCCGAAGCAGGAGCTGATCGACGCGAGGGTGGACGTGGAGGCGTGCGGCGGCGAGCTGTCGAGGTTCGCGGCGTCGCCGCTGCACGCCATGAACGCCGACGACCAGCTCAAGGCCACGCTCGCGTACGAGCTCACCGGACTCATCATCGGCAAGTGATGATGACGGAGTATAGTAGCAATGTCGTCGTTTGCAAGGAGGAAGAAACTATATACGATTATCTTTTTTAGTTTTCAGTCGTTTGCTATATTTTTTTTTCTTTTTGGAGAATAATACTATAAAGAAGGGACTATGTCGTAGTGTGTACTGTTAAGAGTGAACTGAAAACCAAAAATGAAATATTTTGAATTGAAATATTTTTGAATTCGATCTACCTCCTTGCCTAGAATGTGCCGCTTCCATGCACTTCCACTGTCATCATTGCCGGAGAGAATGAAGTATGAATCGCTATATGCCGATTTCAGACCAGTAAATTCGACTTAAATTTCCCAAGATTTGAGGTGAAACCTGACAAATTAAAAACAGCGGTGAAAAAAAGGCATGAAGCACTGAAGGTCTTAAGCAACGAGCGCCAAGGGAGTTTTCGGTAGACATGAATGGTTGGGATGGAATAAGTTCATTTGAGGTCCCTTAACTTGTCAACGAATCCAATTTTCGCCTTTCAACTAAAAAAACCAGATACAACGGGTGCCTCAATTGTTAAAACCAGTGTAGATGAGATCCCTCGGCAGTTTTGGCTGACGTGGCGCCTACGTAGCTAATTTGAATCAATCTTCACCTGACATAGTATTGACTTAGCGCTTACGTGGCAATTCGATCCAGAAAAATAATAAACTTCATGAAAACCACATGTCAATTTCTCACACACACAATATTAATCGATGGTGGGCCCACCTTTCATTCTCAATCCCTTCGTCTTCTTCCTCCTCTCTCTCCCCCATCTCCCGTCTTCATCTCTCTCCTCTCGTCGGCGGAGATAAGGATGGCGCGGCCTCCTCTACTCCCGCCCCCACGGGCCTATCGCGGGCGGCAGCCGCCCCTCTCCTCGTCGACCGCCGCGCCTGCCTCCGGCATGAAGATGGTGCGGCCGTCCAGGTGCACGGTGTATGCGGTGACGAACATGGGGTGGAGGCCATCGATCGGCGAACAGCGGCGGGATGGGTCCGAGGGGACACTCTCCCAGGGCCACCCGCCCGGACAGCCTGAACGACTCGCGCGCGGAGTCGTCACGGGGCGTCGACGACATCACCTGGAGGGAGTGCTTCGACCTGCTGCGAGGCTAGCTCCAGCGCGTACAGCCGCCGGCCGTCGACGGGTACTGTGATGACCGGCATCACGGGCGAGGGCCGGCGTCCACGAAGACGGGAGCCTCCTAGATCAAGCAGAGCATGCGACCACCAATCCACCATGCATGGCGATCGATGACGACGATCTTGCTGTCGACCGCGGCAACGGCCGGCCGGCCGGGAAGAAACAATCGTCTATTTCAGAAATTCTAAGCAGTACTATTGGTAATAACAAACATTTTATGTTTACCATTTTTTCTGCATATACTTTCTGATGACGCCTTCCACCGAGCCGACGAACTAACGCGATCGTGCCGACGATGAAGTAGACGATTCTGAAGGCCTTGCAGCGAGCCCACCACGGCGAGATCTGCCACTGCACACAGTAGTACAGAGTACATCTCGACGGGAAGGTAGATGACGAGCGCGCCGATCGAGCTCGCCCAGCACTTCGTTGTAGCTGGAGAACACCCCGTCGTGCTCCACTAGTGCCTCTATGCGGACGGCGGCGGGCTCAGGGAAGTGGAGGAACATGTCGGCGCCGGTTTATGGGCCACGGCACACACCAAAGAGAAAAGAAAAGTTGACGTGGGTCCCATTGCAATTTTATTTTAACCTAACAGTCACTGACACGTGGGTCTCACGTTTTTCTTTATTTTAAGTACCACGTCAACACCACATCAGCCGAAACCAACATCCAAAACCGTCTTGGGACCTTACTTGCACTGGTCTTGAGAGTTGAGGGACGTGTTATATCTAGTATTGCGGTTCAGGGATGAATTTCAGATTCGGTGACAAGTTAAGGGATCCTAAGTGAACTTATTCCTGGTTGGGATTTGGGTATTGAGGCCCAAAAAAGCCCAAAAAAGGGCCATGGATGAGGGATAAAGTCCTCTTTAGGTCCCTCATCTTTCCGTGTAGTTTAAATCATGCCCCTAACCCGTAATACCAAAAATCTTCACCCCCAACTTGCAAAACCGATTTAAATTAGGTCTCATTGCAGTATAAATGGCTAGTTTCGCTGACTAGGCATCCTAGTAAGCAAACAAAAAATTAAAACAAATCATGTGAGATCCACGTATAAGTGGCCACCCCATCTTCTTCCTCTACTTTCTCTCTCCTCTCTTCCCCTTGTCTCATCCATGCCAACCGCAAAGCCGTCCGTCCATTCACTTTAATTTACTCGTCTGTTCGTCGTAACAGACGGTGTCGTTTTCTCGGCGTACGAGACGCGTACGTACGTGTAGGACCGGACGTGGCACCGACAAGTAACATCCATTGGTGCTGGCATATATTCTGCCATGTGACACACGACGAAAGAGCGGAAGATGGTGCTGCTGGTGCTGGTCAAGTCATCAGGTCAGCTCCGTCCGCCCTGGCCGGCGCCGGGTAACGCAATGCAACTCAAGAGAGCTACACCATCCGTGTCCTACTGGAATAAAGTTACATCGAAGTTCATAAAAAGTAGAAAGTAATTAATTACGTGTAAAATTGATAAAGTGAAAAATAATTATATTAGATCTAATAAAGTGGGGTATTCTAGTTTATAAAAAAAAATTATGAAGAAAACAAACTTATTTTGGGATAGAGGGAGAACTAGTTAGGGTGCGTACAATAGAGACCACGGGTACCAGTGGTCTCAGCATGCCATATTGGAAGAACTGTACAAATGTCATACTACCCACAGTGCAAACCACTCCAAAACATTTGTACGTTTCAGCCCCTAACTATTTATATACCTGCTCTTACGGTATATCTTACTGTCAAGCTTATATCGTACCCTAAAGCAACAAAAAGA